AATAATAATAATAATAATATAGTCAATGCCTCCTTCTCCAAGTCTCATTGGACATGGGGCATTGGGGGGCAAATGTTGGGTTAAGCCCAAATAGTCCAATTTATGTGTTAAAGTCCAACNCATGAAAAAAGTGAGCACACACGCATAAAAAAAAAAGGAAAAAGAAGAAGTGTGCAACATACCAGGTTTTTTAGCAGCACCCCAATGTGTTGGCACCNCCAACCTCATTTTGAATCCACCAAGCCCAAGACAGTCCAAGACCGGTTAGACTTTTTGCTTAGCACGTCATCCAGAGGAGAGCATGGGAAGCTTATCTGCACCACCGAAGGAAACGGTCCAATCTTTGACCGCGTTTCATGAAGAGCTCCCCAATTTCCTCCTTCCGTTGAGGATAAGTCGTGATCTCCACCAGAATGATCTTTTAGTGTTATAAAGTAGTCTTGAGGATAAGTCATGATCTCCACTAGAATGATCTCTTAGCTGTTATAAAGTAGCCCTAATCTGTTAGGAGACTACTATAAATGACNTCTCCAACCGTTGGGCGCTAGTCGCCCCGAAGTCAAGGAAAAGTAATGCAAAACACAGNAAGAATGATCTCTTAGCTGCTATAAAGTAGCCCCAATCTGTTAGGAGACTACTATAAATGGCACACCCCACCAACACTTACAGGGGACAGACCGACGACCGGAGACCACTACTTCTTTGATTCTCCATTCTCTCAAAGCTTGTATCTCTATTCTCCACACCTTTGAATTAATAAAATACCCAGNATCCCCGGAAGAGTCATCGCAAGCAAGCTCGCCCAACTCAGCCCAACGGTACAACACGGTCGGAGGGATGCGATAAGTAAAAACAAGCCTTGAAATATCTTCATCTAAGTGGAACAAACTAAAAAGGGTGCTCACCTTAGACCCGTCATCATCAAGTCCCACTTTGCTCTTGTGTTTCTTCTTCCGGGGCCTTAAGGAGTAGTCTAAATCACCATTGGGAGAGTCTTGAAGAACTTGAATAAGGGGAGCTACAATAGGGGCTTGATCATCAAGAGCAGCACCCAAAGCTTTCTTATTACTTGCAATGTCTAGCCTAACACCTGGAAATGTGCTTGACTGCCGTTGCTCGTCAAAACAAAGTTGTCCAGTAGATTGAAGGGTGTCTGGCCCTTCAAAATTGCACAAAGCAGAATTTTTGGCGCAAAAATTAGCACCTAAGGCGCCCAAATCAACGCCTCGAGTGGGAATCGGATCAGCCCGTGCTCCCAGGCCACTGCCTAGCTCTTCCTGATGACCCTTGGACTGATTTTCAGCGCCCCTTGATGGAAAAATGTTGCTGCCTAGCATTCCAAAGCCGCCCAGCGCAGCTGAGCTGTCCGGGACAGCAGAAGCAGCAGCCAGGCTGCTGCCCAGCGTGCCTGGGCTGTCCAGGACAGCAAGGCCAGCGCCCAGGCAGCTGCCCAGCCGCTTCCCTTCGCTGCCCAAGCCACTCCTCGCGCTGCCCATCTCCCCTTCGCTGTCCAGCCCTTCATTTACAGCCCCAAAGCTGTCCAAGACAGCATTCGAATGCTCAAAACCAGTCTTCAAGTTCTCCAAAATGGTGCCTACTTCCTCCATTTCTTCAACCTCCATCACTCGCTCTTCAATCGACATTGTTTACTTGAGAAGCTCAACTAGCAAGGAAGAAATCACACTTTTGAAAGGATTCAAGGAGAACACATTTTGGTTTCAACAAAATGGGTCGGACTTGAGTTCTCAAGGTTTTCAAGAGGTGGGTGCTCAACCTTAAAAATGAGTGAAATGGGTAACATAAAGAAGAAGACTATATTTATAGTCTAAGGTTTTTCAAAAAGAGGAAAAAAGCCCAAATAGAAAATTGTGGGCCCTTTTCAAAATAAAAAGGCCAAATAGAATATTATGGGCCCTCTTCAAAATAAAGTGGGAAAGACTTGAAGTTTAAAATAATAATAATAATAATAATAATAATAATAATAATAATAATAATAATAATAATAATAATAATAATAATAATAA